CTACCATACATACAGCCTGGGATACTATGTTAATTACATTTCATATAGCTAATGACACTTTGCAGTTTTGTGTAAATTACACTTCATACAACCAGTGATATTATTTTGTTCAGTGTTACATGACCTAAATACAGCCCGTTATACTCCTTTGCAGTTCAATGTTACCTTACCTAAATATCACACATTATATATACGCTTACCTGAATACAGCCATAGATACTCCTATGTAGTTCAGGGATACTTTTTCGGGAACTTCTGGTGTAATCCCAAAAAATCCGAATCTACAATTAGACATTTACATCGTAAAAACACTTAAATATCCCATATGTACGCAAGTAGTATCAAAGTTGATGACCGAAAAACATTTGAAAGAATTCACCAAGCGTGAGGAAATCAGGGAAAGATCGCTGTAATATGAACAAGAGGCCCATGGGACTAAGCGGTCACCTGTCTGAGTTCTACAGTATTTTTTGTTGTTGTTTAAATATGTACAAATTTGAGCACAAACTAGTTAAGTATAACGTTAACTTAACTTTGTCAGGACCATGAGCTGATCATTCCTAGACCAAGTTTCAGTTAAATCGGCCTATTAAAACTCTTTCAAAATGGCGGCCGTGGCGGCCATATTGGATTTCTGATCGACCCGAAAAGTAGCAACACTTTGTCAGCACCATGAGTCGATCATTCCTACAAAGTTTCAGTTCAATTGGTCTAGCAGAACTTGACTTTAAGTTTGAAATAGTTTTTCAAAATGCGGCCGTGGCGGCTATATTGGATTTCTGTTCGACCCGAAAAATAACAACACTTTGTCAGGACCATGAGTCGATCATTCCTACCAGGTTTCAGTTCAATCGGTCCAGCAGAACTTGACTTTAAGTTTGAATTTTTTTATTTTTTTTTAAATGGCGGCCGTGGCGGCCATATTGGATTTCTGATCGACCGGAAAAATAACAACACTTGGTCAGGGAGATGTCAGTGGCCTTCCCATGAAATATTAATGAAATCCCTTTGCTAGTATTTCAGCTTAAGTTGAAAATGTAAAATGTTAACGGACGACGGACGACGGACGACGACGGACGAAGACGGATAGCAATAGGTCACTTGAGCTAAAGCTCAGGTGACCTTAAAAGCAAGAGAATATCGAAGTGTCAACAAATCCATACATCGAAATCAAAAACGATAAAACAAGGGTAAAATATGAAAAAGGAAAGATTTACATGGAGACTCCTGAAAAAGTACCAGGATAATTAAGGCCAGTTGTCCCGAAAAGATAAGCGTCTTCTGTTTCATAAATGACACCCGCGTAGTAAATCTAAGTCGAATCCAAAACAGGTCACGTCTTCACATCAAGAACGTGAGTAGTGTTTTAGGAGAGTGTGCTCTGTCGGAGTTATTTACGTTGAACATCTTTGTTCGCGTCTGCATGATATGTCAGCAGACACGTTCATTCCTTTCAATGAAGATAATAATTGAACGTTTTATCATTAAAGGGCAAGGGCTTCAGCATCCAACTGTGTGTATCACTATAAAGGCATGCTTGCACTCCTTAAGTAGCCAGCTTACCTTCCTGTAGCCCATCCGCTCAGCAAGTTTGACATCCCCCAGATACAGAGGCCTAGACCCATGCCGATAGTCTTGATGATTGGCACGACGGTAAGGTTTCCTAAACATATTATAGTTACTCCATATTAAAATATGATAGTATTTCCAATGAAATTAGTCGTAACTGAAATAAGCATACATATAAAAAGATCCATTCCCATTTAAAGCAGGCCATGATGCTTTTATGTTGAATTCTCCTCAGTTCTCAATCGGTTTAAATAATGTTATCACTTAATGTTTCACATGTTGAAAAGGTAATGAACAAAAAATAGTTTCGTTTGTTGAACTTATCTTCCTACCTGTTGCCCATGCCACACCTCCAACCATAGCGAGGGGGTAGAACGTGCTCCTCCGTATTAACTGGATCACTATTCCCGTCGTTATAATGGCACTGGACATCACCCACTGGAAAAACATCCCTGACAACAAACCAAATTAGAATTACCAACGTTTAGACATTACCCACTGGAAAAACGTTCCTAACAACAAACCTATCTAGACAATACCTGCTGTCAAATTCGAACAAAAAAATGTTAATGCAAAAAATCATACTTTGAACTTTATGACGATAGGCGATCTAATTATTTGCAAACACAATCATGACAAACAGGTTTTTTTCTTTTGGTATAGAGGTTTCCCTAACGATGCTGGGTGCTTATCATGTTTATTTTAACTCGAGTTGGTCATTTTGTATGAGTACATGGAACGTTTAGGGTTAGGGTTAGCCTTAACCCTAACCCTAACCAAATAAAATATTTGCTTCCGTTGGACAGAGATTAATATTGTTTCCGATCTGGGTGACAATTTTTGTGATTCATGGCGAATCAATGGAAGATGATGACGGAAAGCAATGTTACGTGACGTCATACATTGTAATTGAAAGACCAATAAAATAATTTCTTAAATATTACCAACTAGTGTAGCAACTCCTAACAGGTTTATTCATTAGTCGGAAGAGAGGAAACCTTTAGTGGTTGTGGAAGAAACATGTTTTAACCGTTTTATCAAATAGTAAAACAACTATTTTTGCGGGAACAAGGTAGTGTGTTTTCTATGGTACAATTTCATTCAGAGAAAAAATCCAGGAAATCATCAAACCATTTGAAATTTTCTGTCAAAGTTTCAAGTATTGATGATCGAATCTCGTCTGTCTCGTGAATAAAAAATATTCTGACTAGTCTATGATATTATTGTCATACATTCAGACAAGGCTATATTAAAAAAACGTTTACAATACATATTCTCGCATGTCCGATTCCCTGCGTTTCGGCAACCTGTTGAGATTGTGTTTCAAAAGCGCAATGGTACTGTAGTCAAGCCTTCAGCCCAATGTATAACAATCGAAGTGTTAGGTACAACGCACATTTTATTTGTGAATCATGTATTTGAATCTGGAAGAGTGCAGCCGATAATGCAATGACATAGGCATACATAGGGCTAAGCATACCATGCTCTCATAGCTTGATACTGATTAGCTGACGTCTAACCTCAGCGGAGACTGACGGATACTGTCAATGCCTCGACAGGATTTACACATGCATGGAAGTACAAAAAAATAGTATAAATGTGTTTTTATTCAGATTCAGACAATAGAGTAGTCACAAATTCTAAGACCAGGCAGTTATTAAGGACATTTTCGGGATAAATTTCATGAATTCATACAAATATTTAATGTGATGTGCAGAGAATACACTAACCATAACGTGATCTTATAGGTGCAGTTGATAGAAATGAATCACGACATACCATCTCCGGTCTCGTATTTCTTTACAGGAACGAAATTGCTACCGTAGAATACTACAGCTACGAGAGCCGCAACATAACCGAACTCGGGGGCGAGGGTATCGTCACTGGCACAGGCTGTCGAGTTGCTAATGGAAATGATCGTCGGATTCGACATGGCGAATTTCAGCAAGATGTACAACCACTGGGTAAGAATACATGTTTAATTAGAGTTATAAATTGAGACAATCAAACATTTCTTTCTCAACTCATAGTTCCGAGATAACAAAGATGACAGTGAAGGACCAAGGAAGATAACTTCTACTTGTAATGGCCCTAAAACGACATTACCTTTTCGACATGGCGAGATCGCATCATTGCGTATACATATGTACATTACATATGCTACAAAAGGTAGCATGTCCCAAAGATAACTATACACATATAAATGATACGGTTTGTAATGTTTTCGGCAGCGAGTTTACTTCTCCGAACAATGCAGTGATGTCAAACCAATATACCACTCATACATATATATATAATATATTCAATGTTCTTTATTCCTTAGATCTTGTGGCCCATAAGTTGCAAATACAACATGAACATGTACAATATATACAAACAAACGGAGAGAGAGAGTCATAACGAAGTGTATACATGCTTAAATTAAATATCATAATTAACCCTTCAGGTTTTTTTCCTTTTCTGTAATGCCCAATGTACAAATTGTCCAGTTTTATTTAGCTCCGTAACATTGTTTACACTTAATTGAAGCTTAAATAATTTTTAAGCATGTTTTATGGCAGTAATAAGTTTCTATATCTAGTAATATAGGCAGTCATTGGGGGTCGTGGACTGTGGGCTGACTATGTGGTGAATAAGTCAAAAGGTCGTGTGCAGTCATGCCAGTCATTCCCTAGTAAGGGACTATCCAGATCACGTGATCAGAGTGGGGGCGTGTGCAACTTTGAGGGAGATCAGTCAGCTCCAGCAGCCATTTTTTAATTCTCTCAATCTGTATCAATTCAAGCATTTTATCCAGTGATTCTCTCAAAATTCTACGTACACGAACTTTACTTATTGTCTGGGATGTATCATGCATGTTGTGTGTAACGAGGGAGTCTCCTGTATGTACATACGATGAACTTTTGAAGTATTAGTCAGGGGAGTGTTTTACCACTTCCTTCATCATGGCGCCAAAATCAAAGAAACAGAAAACCTCTGGAAGTGCGCTTGATATTACCAACTATCTGAACTGGGGTGTCACCAGATTACGGCATGAACTTTCCGCGATCGGATTAGTTACTTCCACGTCGTTTCCAATCTCTACACTTCGTAAATTGTAAGTTGACAATCTACTAACCCGACACGCAAACGAGCGTTCACAGGGTAGTGCGCGTGTCCCGCGATCGAGGATTCCTCGCCCAATACCGCAGTTCGCCACCACTCGTTCTTCAAACGAGATCGACATGCAATTTATAGCGGGACCTTCCTCTCGGAATGACGAATCCCGCTCGTACAGCCCGGATAACAGGGAAGTAAGTGGGAACTATATTTCACCGCGGAGGATTAATCGCACACCTTCAGCCACAGGCGCCCGCAGTGCTTCAGCAGACGTGTGTGAGACGGCGGCCTACAACAACAATAACACGCGCAAGGATCCCGATGGAGGTAGTTCCGGCTCAAACATGGCGGCGCCCATGTCACCAATATTTCAAGCCCTGGTGGACACGATGTCGGGCATGCAAACCATGATGGCAAACATGGTAGCAGCCAGCAGCAAGGAGAGAAACCCGACTATGACGCTGGACTAACTATACAATAGACCTACGATGCAAACGGGGGCGGGACCTCATGTACCAGTATTCAACGAAACGGCATTCAGCGCCATGCCCAGGGCGAGGTTTGGGGTATCACCCGAAGACATCCCTCACATGGACCTCATGGCGGCCTCGGTGAGGAGACAGATCATTGAAGGTAGGGATGTTAATTTAGCATCACTGTTGATCCCCTACTATGAGGTCCCCGATACCCTATCACAAAGGAATCAGGCCCAGGAACAAAAACTCCGCCGTTCTCTTAGTATCGGAGAATTCATAACGGCGTTTGGAAGATACAAACGCACCATGTCCCAGGCTTATCCCGACAGACGGGAAGAGTTAGAACAGTATGAAGACATTGTTGTAGGCCTGTATAACACCTACGGTGCAAAATTTTACGAATATCATAAACTGTTCTCTTTAAAAAGTGCGAACGCCATGGCCCTCCACGGCCTCAAGATGGACTGGTCCATTAGGGATCGAGACCTTATTCAGTTGGTCACCGCCGGGTCCAAGTCCCGCAGTTGCGGCAACTGCGGTGAAGCGTCGCATGAGACGCATTACTGTCCGCGCAGCGGCAATCGTCAAAATTCCAAGAACAATCATCATGATCAGGCAGAAAATTCACGTAGTCCGTCTACAGATACCGACAAACATGGCCGCAAACGTGTATTCCACAACGGGGTGGAATTATGTAATAATTACAACACAAAAAGGGGCTGTAACCGCGAGTCATCATGCCCGTTCATTCATGTCTGTTCTCAGTGTAAACAAAACACACACGGTGCAGCTGAATGCAACACAAAAGGGGAACAATACCCACTACGGTCCCGTTCAAAGAAGGAATGACTATCATCAGTAGATAGCCAAAACCGGGACACACAGGTGATAGTATTGGGCGATAAATTAACTGAAGAAAATATAAATACGCCGGTCAACATTCAGCAACTCGAAATGGAATTGACCCGTCACCCGAATAGGGTTTTCGTGCACAATATTGTACAAGGCTTTACCAAAGATTTCTATACAAAGTCCGACAATTGGACTTGCCAACAAAAGAATGCAAAAATCTGCAATCTGCCATTAAACAACCAGAGGTGGTTACAAAACTTTTAGATACAGAACTCCGGAAAGGTTTTATTTCCGGTCCGTTCGTTGCTCCTCCGTTTCCGGCCTATCGTGTGTCTCCCATCGGTGTCGCAAAAGCGAAATACTCTGACAAACAAAGACTCATCGTGGACTTATCAGCTCCGCACAACGCCGCGACCCATAGTAGCATCAACGACTTAATTGACAAAGTAGAATGCTCCCTGTCATATGTTAGGATAGACGACGCAACCAAACAAGTGGTTAAGAACGGTCAGGGTTCAAAGATGTGCAAGACTGACATTTCTGACGCTTTCAAAGTGGAACCAATTTCACCGTCCCAATATCATTTGTTTTGTGTCAAGTGGCTAGATCAGTATTACTATTACAACCGTCTAGCTTTCGGATGTAGGTCCAGTCCAAAGATTTTTGATCAATTATCATCATCAATTTGCTGGATAGCAGAAAATAACTATGGAATAGAATTTATCCTACATCTGTTAGATGATTTCCTTACAGTGGATAAACCCGTCTATGACGCAGAAAACACTATGGCCAAATTGTTACTGATATTTGAAAGACTTAACATCCCGATCGCGAAACACAAAACGACTGGTCCCACTACAGTGATAGAGTATCTAGGTATAATACTGGACTCTGACAATATGCAAGCTCGGCTTCCCCAGGACAAGATCAAGAGAATAGGGACGTTACTACAGCAGTTCTCTGCACGCAAATCTTGTACAAAGAGGGAACTTTTACAACTACTGGGACACCTGACGTTTGCAAGTAGGGTAACTCCAGCCGGTCGATCTTTCATATCATTCTTGTTAGCTTTATCATTATCAGTGCAGGAATTACTCCATTATGTGCATTTGAACGCGGAATGCAGGGAGGGCATGCACATATGGACAATGTTTCTTAGACAATGGAACGGGATTTCCATGTTTCATGACATTGCTATCACCAACGCTGCCGATATGTCCTTATATACCGACGCATCGTCTACAGTCGGACACGGAGGGTAGTTTCAAGGTCTATGGTTTTGTGAGGCATGGCCTGGTGATATTCCCTTAGTGAATGACGATAAGATGTCCATGGCCTTACAGGAGTTGTACCCAATCGTGGTAGCAGCTATTATGTGGGGATATATGTGGGAAAACAAACGTATACGTTTCTTTTGTGATAACGAGGCTACGGTCCGCATAACCCGGAGAGTCTGCTCAAAAGTATTGTAGATAAGGCAATTGATGCGAAGACTAACATGGTGTGCAACACAAAACAACTTCACCATACATGCTGAACATGTGCCCGGGAAAATAAATGTAATAGCTGACGCTTTATCTCGATTGCAGATGGATCGTTTCCGCCGCCTGGCCCCCATCGCCCACCCAGTTCCATGTATCTGCCCACCAGTCTCCGAGGTAATGTGGAGTTACCACACAAGGTAGAGGTAGTGATGAATAATTTAGTAGCCGAGTCCACACGACATGTCTATGAGTCGGGAATGCGAACATTTTTTCGGTTTTGTAACATGAACAACATAGTCTATCATACAGACTTGCCACCCATTTCCGAACAATTATTGATATATTTTGTAACTTACTGTCACACCAGCTTGAAAGTCAAGTATGCCACGATCAAACTTTACCTGTGCAGCATCAGATTTCATTATGTGGCGCAGGGAGTTTCCAGCCCTTTCTACGAGGTCAATTCAGTGTTCGGTAGGACCTGTACATTAACACGACTCCAGATGGCAATGAATGGGGTTAAGAGAATGGACGCGGGCAAAGCTAGGAAACCTAGGTATCCAGTGGCTTTTCATGTGCTTTCACTCATGTACGAGCGGCTACAACAGGGGTTATTTGGTAACAGTGTGGATAGAATTATGAAAGCGGCATGTACTACTGCCTTCTTCGGATTCCTCCGATGCGGGGAATTCACTTGTAAAGCAACATTCAATCCGGAAGTACATCTAACAGTAGGTGATGTGTCAACTAATGAACAATACACAGTGCTAACCCTAAAGAGATCTAAGACCGACCCGTTCCGTCACGGGGTCAGCGTCAAACTATTCTGTAACAAGTCTACAGTGTGCCCGAAGTGTGAGTTGGATTGTCATGTCAACACACGATCACAAGTTGTAAGCCCAACACACCCTCTTTTTGCCTTCGACAACGGGAACCCATTGACACGAACAGAGTTCATCAATCTATTACGACAAACACTGAAAGCGTGCAGGCTTCCCCAAGACCTATACTCAGGTCACTCGTTCCGCATAGGAGTCGCTACAACGGCCTCAGACTCGAAAATCCCAGACCATTTAATTAAAACCCTGGGCAGGTGGACATCCGAGTCGTACTGCCGGTATATTCGAACATCAGACTCAGTTCTAAAGGCAGCTCAAAATGCATTAACCCACTGACGATCAGCAGATTGTGAAAAGGTTAACATAGTAGGAAATAGGCACACGCATCCTTCTATTAAAGTTGACGTTAGGTAATATAATAGTACATGTTGTTCTTAGTAGTGAAGATGAATAATAAATTAAGTGTTACAGGTTACTTTATCAGGTAAGGTAATCAAGAGCATCACGAGTTCTACAACAGCGTTGTGGCGGTACCTGTTACAGAACAGGTGACGGCGAATTATTTACCTGAGGGTAGAGGTTCCAACTCATGGCAACACAGTTCTACAACCATCGTTATAGCGGTACCTGTACACTACAGGTGACAGCGATTTATTTACCCAAGGGTAGAGGTTCCAACTCCCAACATCATGAGTTCTACAACCATCGTTGTAGCGGTACCTGTACACTACAGGTGACGGTGAATTATCAACCCAAGAGTATAGGGGTTCCAACTCCCAACATCATGAGTTCTACAACCATCGTTGTAGCGGCACCTGTACACTACAGGTGACGGTGAATTATCAACCCCAGAGTATATGGGTTCCAACTCCCAACATCATGAGTTCTACAACCATCGGTGTAGCGGTACCTGTACACTACAGGTGACGGCGAATTATTTACCTGAGGGTAGAGGTTCCAACTCCCAGCATCACGAGCTCTACAACCATCGTTGTAGTGGTACCTGTACACTACAGGTGACGGCAAATTATTTACCTGAGGGTAAAGGTTCCAACTGCAGACATCATGACGAGCTCTGCGACTATTGTTCCGGCGGTACTAGTACAGGTTCCAGCTATCAGTTATCGAAGGGTAATAGTTGGGACGCTTGAATTATTATCTAATGGTTATGTGATTGGTAGTCTGGCAAGCTCATAGCAGCTATACTTGTCTACTGGCATATTTAGTATGGGCGAATTCACCGAAGGACAGTTTAACAGCCACATACTACATGTAAATGATTGCGACTCTGTGAGTTTTAGTAGCAAGATGTACGTTTTTCATATATATACAATAATATAGGTAGAGCAACATACCTTGTTGATTGACTATATGCTCTTATATTAATTGTGTTACCATGACAACGTCTTAATTAGTATGTTAGCTATAGGTATGTACATGTAAATATATATATCATTATCTATCACTATTTACTTGGGGACACTCAGCTGTTCACACAGGGTTTTCACATCTGAGTTTTGGATTTATGATGCTATAAACATCATTATTCCCCAAGTAATTCATTAAAGGTCAAGAGTTTCGAACCCTGATCACACAGATTTCTGCAACAATCGTTTTACGGTATATATACATCCTTGGTATACTGGCGAACTTTTACCACGGCGTAGATGTTCCAAATCTGTGGGATGATTCAAACACAGTAGTCTTGAAGATTTCTTCAACCGTCGTTGTAGCGGTACACTTACGGGTACTGGTGGATTATTTACCTCAGGGTAGAGGTCCCAAATTTGAGAGACGTAAATCTGTAACATCTTTTAAAATGTGGTAATTTAAATCTACAAAAATCACATCCAAGTCAGAACAGCTGAGCCGGTCTTCAAGCCAAGTTTTGTATTGTATGCATATTATGTGAAGTATGTATAAATGTGTGTATAAGTAATAACATGTATAACTATATCAATATCCAACATATCAATATCATGTTCCATTAGTAGCTCCTTCATACAATCTAGAACTCAAACGCTGTGTTGTTATTATTACTGACATAAATAGCTGAACTAGCTTGGTACACTAGGTTTTCGATAATAATATTTCTTAATATACCTTTGACGTAAATCTGCATAAAATTGACATTTAAGTAAAAAAATGGGATTCATCTTCAATTTCGTTTATTATTACATTTTTGTATGTCTACCTTTCCCTATGTTAAGATCATGAGATGATAGTCAAATATACTAGATAAACAATTTCTGTAATCTGAATCAATAGGTTTACGTAAATAATACTGTAAACATTTTAAAATTGTTAACTTAATGTTGATATAAGTAACCACGTGATACTTGACTAAATTTTAATAACAATATAATCTTGTATACATCATTAATTCTATATTCTATTATTTTTAATGTACAATTTTCCATCTCACAACTATACCATTGTCATGTTCACATCACCCTTTATATATTGTCTTCTTACTTAATATATAATGGTGAGTTGTATGCCTTTTTTGTTAATTTATTATAACTAATACCATCAATGTGTTGTAAAGTGTTATTTTAGAGCAATTTTATATAAGCACGTTAACAGAGGTTAGGTATAGGCAAATATAGTTTACTTACAACAGACAGGTATGCTTCTAAAGTCCACTGTAAATAAAACTAATACATACTTGTCCAGGCATTCATATGACCACAACATATAGGTAAGGCATTATTTACATATCGCTATCATTAAGTCCGTCACCAATGGGTGTTCTATACCTCATGCACTCGACGTAATAAAATTAAATCGCTGATGTACTCACATAAAATCACATATACACGTATAGCATATTACTCCAGTAAAACTCATTCTAGGTTTTTATGCAAAATTATATTTCTATAATGAAAATGGTTGACTTGGTTCAGTTGCTGTACTTACCCCGTTCTGCTATCGTGTGTTGACCCATCTATGATGACAGAGATATGAGGTTGGGCCGTCAGTACACGTGCACACATTACCTCACATTGGGTGTATGTGTATGATGAAGATTACTAGTATTGTATATTGACCTTTAACTATTAAGATAGTGGTGTTACATACCCCACTGTTAAATGTTTGACTTTTCGCTACTGGCTAGGTAAACACCAGTCATGATCATATCTTTATATGCATCACTGTCACTCCTATTGAATAGCAACTTGGATGGAAAACGGAGCCTACAAAACTAAAAGCATTTCTTGCCGAATGCAGAAAAATGATATGTTGCGTGACATTGTTTTTGAAATGTGCGTTAATCATTTTGTATACAATGCACGTTTATGCGATACATATACTTCGGATGTGCACATCTTAAATATACAACTCGGCAGATATAATATCAATGATCTTATTTATTGAAAGAGCGATGTATACTCTAAATATGTATGTGATGCATACACATACGTGTGTAAACGGTGCCTATCTACGAAGTTGCACATTGTATGGCGCCGATATTCTAGTTTTACGCGACATCCTCTTCACTAATACTATAAACGATTGTCATGCTTACGCTCCCATTTCCTCTGTTGTCCCACTGACTAAATATAAAATGGAAGCTAAAAATGTATTATACTTAGGACTAAATAACACACAACAAGAGAATACCGAAGTGTCAACATTGAAAAAAGTACAAGAATTAGACCAGGTCTTTTAGTTTAGTTGAGCGTTCGCCCCTGTGAGGAAGGCTTTTGGTTCTGTCCCCTGGCCGAGACATACCAGAGTCTGCAAAAAATGTAGTTTCTACTCCTGCTTAACGCTCAGCAATTTAGGATAGATACGACTGGTTCGCCCGTTGTCAGTATAATGTGACCGGTTGGGGTGTCCTGCTGGGTGTCTTCGGCAGTATTCGGCATAGGTTCCGCGCTATCACACGGAGACAAACACGAACATATCGCAGCCTCCCAAAACACACACGCATACATGTACACCACATGCATGCATCTTGTACCCAGGGGAGGCCGTCCTTAAATGACCATGGCTGATAGGTCGTTAAACAATACTAAACCAAACCAAACCAAACCATTAGACCAGGTGTTCCGCAGGGTGAGCGTCTTCTGTTTCATCGACTACATATTTACACCCGTCATGTTAATCTAGATCCTACATTGAACGCACCTGGGATGATAACCAGTTACACTTGTAATATACGTAGGGTGATAAACATCAATTTATCTAGGACTATACATCACAAATACACCTAGGACGAAAGACAATAGGCAAGCTAGCTTACCTTCTGCTACGACATACATCAACTATACTTTGGAGGTATGTACATCTGTATATAAAATATATCTTATATACATTACACATTGTACGATATACATTGTACATTCGCATAAATTGGACCGGGAGTTACAACTAACACCAAGTTAAACTTTATCTTTTTAGTCACATTTTCGACGCTGACCATACATAATACACACGTGATCAATTAACGATGAAGGATAAGGCTATATATTTTTAGTGTGGTGAAATTAAAGGTTAAAGACAGCTGTGTTCTTGTCACATTTCTAAATATGCTTTATTTATAATAATAAACGCCGTTTTATTTGACCAATCGTTGGCATACAATAAAAAAGTAATCGGAGGTCCAATTTTAAATTAGCACTTTAATTTGAAATACATTGTATATTATTAGATTCAACATGACCTATTTAGGTAGTCAATTGATTGGCGATCAGTAGTTTAATATGGTTCAAAATATATATAATCGTATAATTTTATCATAATTTGGGAAATGTTTTATCGTTGATTCATGTACAGGCTCAAAAAGAGGCTATGTCTAGCATATTGTGTAGGCATTTTTCTCGTTATATTGTCACGCACTCCCTACGGTATGGTATTATCATAACGTCTGCACACTTCCTGCGGGTTATCTACTAAATAATATTATACTCAATGAATTCCAGGTTCACTTGTAATGTCAGATACAGTAGGCACTCACCTGTACTTATCTGTATATGTTTGTCAGTAAACAACGCTTCCGATTTCATTTGTGACTTGTTATACTTTATATATCCTCAATATACTTTTAATGCCATTCACTTCTCTGATGTAAACAGCTATGGAGATTGCTGTTACTCCACTAACTAATCCGCATAAACGATGTAATACAGTACTAGTGATTGCTGCTACTCGACTAACTAATCCAAATACACGATATTATACAGTACTAGTGATTGCTGTTACTCCACTAATTAATCCACATACACGATATAATACACTACTAGTGATTGCTGTTACTCCACTAACTAATCCACATACACGATATTATACAGTACTAGTGATTGCTGTTACTCCACTAAGTAATCCACATACACGATATAATACACTACTAGTGATTGCTGTTACTCCACTAACTAATCCACATACACGATATAATACAGTACTAGTGATTGCTGTTACTCCATTAACTAATCCACATACACGATATAATACAGTACTAGTGATTGTAGCTACTCCCCTAACTAATCCACATAGACGATATGATACAGTACTAGTGATTGCTGTTACTCCACTAACTAATCCACATACACGATATAATACAGTACTAGTGATTGATGTTACTCCACTAACTAATCCGTATAAACGATGTAATACAGTACTAGTGATTGCTGCTACTCGACTAACTAATCCACATACACGATATTATACAGTACTAGTGATTGTTGTTACTCCACTAACTAATCCACATACACGATATAATACACTACTAGTGATTGCTGTTACTCCACTAACTAATCCACATACACGATATAATACAGTACTAGTGATTGCTGCTACTCCACTAACTAATCCAAATACACGATTTAATACAGTACTAGTGATTGCTGCTTCTCCACTAACTAATCCACATACACGATATAATACAGTACTAGTGATTGTAGCTACTCCCCTATCTAATCCACATAGACGATATGATACAGTACTAGTGATTGCTGTTACTACACTAACTAATCCACATAGACGATATAATACAGTACTAGTGATTGCTGTTACTCCATTAACTAATCCACATACACGATATAATACAGTACTAGTGATTGTAGCTACTCCACTAACTAATCCACATACAAGATATAATACAGTACTAGAGATTGCTGCTACTCCACTAACTAATCCACAAACACGATATAATACAGTACTAGTGATTGCTGCTACTCCACTAACTAATCCACATACACGATATCATACAGTACTAGTGAGTGCTGTTACTCCATTAACTAATCCACATACACGATATAATACAGTACAAGTGATTGCTGTTAATCCACTAACTAATCCACAAACACGATATAATACAGTACTAGTGATTGTAGCTACTCCACTAACTAATCCACATACATGATATAATACAGTACTAGTGATTGCTGTTACTCCATTAACTAATCCACATCGACGATATTATACAGTACTAGTGATTGTTGTTACTCCACTTTTTAATCCACATCGACAATATAATACAGTACTAGTTATTGCTGCTACTCCACTAACTAATCCACATAGACGATATGATAAAGTTCTAGTGATTGCTGTTACTCCACTAACTAATCCACAAAGACGATATAATACAGTACTAGTGATTGCTGTTACTCCACTATTTATTCCACATAGACGATATAATACAGTACTAGTGATTGCTGCTAGTCCACTAACTAATCCACATACACGATATAATACACTACTAGTGATTGCTGTAACTTCATTAACTAATTCACATAGACGATATGCAACAGTACTAGTGATTGCTGTTACTCCACTAACTAATCCACATACACGTTATAATACAGTACTAGTGATTGCTGTTACTCCACTAACCAATCCACATTGACGATAAAATACAGTACTAGTGATTGCTGTTACTCCTCTAACTAATCCACATACACGATATAATCCAGTACTAGTGATTGCTGTTCCTCCACTAACTAATCCACATACACGTTATAATTCAGTACTAGTGATTGCTGTTACTCAACTAAGTAATCCACATACACGATATAATACACTACTAGTGATTGATGTTACTCCACTAACTAATCCACATTGACGCTAAAATACAGTACTAGTGATTGCTGTTACTCCACTAACTAATCCACATAGACAATATAATACAGTACTAGTGATTGCTGTCACTCCGCTAACGAATCCACATACACGATAGTATACAGTAATAGTGATAGTAGCTACTCCGCTAACTAATCCACATAGACGATATTATACAGAACTAGTGATTGCTGCTACTCCACTTACTTATCCACATAGACGATATGCGACAATATAATACAGTACTAGTTATTGCTGTCACTCCGCTAACGAATCCACATACACTATATTATACAGTAATAGTGATAGTAGCTAGTCCACTAACTAATCCACATAGACGATATGATACAGTATTAGTGATTGCTGTTACTCCACTAACTAATGCACAAACACGATATAATACAGTACTAGTGATTGCTGTTACTGCACTAACTAATCCACATACACGATATTATACATTGCTGATACTCCACTAACTAATCCACATTGACGATAAAATACAGTACTGGTGATTGCTGATACTCCACTAACTAATCCATATACACGATATGATACAGTACTAGTGATTGATGTTACTCCACTAAGTAATCCACATACACGATATTATACAGTACTAGTGATTGATGTTACTCAACTAACAATACAGTACTTGTGATTGCTGTTTCCTCATTGTAGCTACTCCCCTAACTAATCCACATAGACGATATGATAAAGTTCTAGTGATTGCTGTTACTCCACTAACTAATGCACAAACACGATATAATACAGTACTAGTGATTGTAGCTACTCCCCTATCTAATCCACATAGACGATATGATACAGTATTAGTGATTGCTGTTACTCCACTAACTAATGCACAAACACGATATAATACAGTACTAGTGATTGCTGTCACTCCGCTAACTAATCCACATACACGATAGTATACAGTAATATTGCTGTTACT